AGAGCTGTGGTGGCCTGTGCATCATAGTAGGGAGAGGGGCAGCAGTGACCAGAGATCCTAGAAGTCACCCTGAATTATGGAGATCACATTCTAAGCCTCATTTTAACAATTATTTAAATATTATCAGTTTATGTTTTTATATAGGTACTACATTAAATATTCAAAAGGTTCAAAGTGAAAAGTCTCTTTCCCACTCCCATCCCCTAGCCCTACAGTCCCCTAACTGTATTCCATATCCCCCAGTTTCCAGTAACATTTTCCTACAAGTCCACATTTTCTCCAAATACCACTGGGTTTGTATAAATAGTCTTGTTCAAGGTATCTTGAGCTTTCACAAACTCTCCCCTCAAAGTCCTTCCAGCTTCTGCCCACCGCCCTGTTCCAAAGCACTTCCACATTTTTAGATATTTGTTATAGCAGCCCCAAAATCTATATTAGTTATCTAACGCTGCATAACAAATTAACCCAAAACTTAGCAGCTTATAAAAAAAACAGTAAATATTTATTAGTTCATGTACTTTCAGTGGGTCAGGAATTTGGGCACACCTTAGCTGCTGGTTCTGTCTCTGGGTCTCTCATGAAGCCATAGTCAAATGTCAGCTGGGGCTGCAGTCATCTGAAAGCCTGACTGGAGCTGGAGGATCCTCTTCCAAGATGGGTCACTCCCATGGTTGTTGGCAGGAGGCCTCAGTTCTTCTCTACCTGGACCTCTCCATAGGGCAGCTTGAGTATCCTTATGACATGTCAATGAATTATCCAAGAGAGAAGAAGACATAATCCACAATGTCTTATGCCCTAGCCTTGGAAGTCACACACCATCATTTCTGTGATGTCCTATTGGTATGACTAACAAGTCAGCCCAAAATAGCCCATACAGGATGTGACTCTCAGAAGGCTAGAAATCTGGGGGGGATCTTGGAGCCTGACAATCATACCTTCCTCAGAAGCAAACAATGTCCCTAGCCTCTTATAGGTCCTTTCAGAGTTATTTTATTCAGAAATAAGCAATTATAAATATATGTATCTTTGCTTCCCTCCTTTAGACAAATGGTAGAATACTACATATACCATTCTGTACCTTGCTTTTCTCACTTAAAAATACATCATGGTGATCATTCCACATTATTATTTAATGCATGCCTACTTCTCTTTTTTTTAATAAATGTATTTATTTTTGGCTGCATTGAATCTTTGTTGCTGAGCGTGGGCTTTCTCTAGTTGTGGCGACGGGGGGGTTACTCTTCGTTGCGGTGCGCGGGCTTCTCATTGGGGTGGCTTCTCTTGTTGCGGAGCATGGGTTCTAGGTGCGTGGGCTTTGGTAGTTGTGGCACCCGGGCTCAGTAGTTGTGGCTTGCAGGCTCTAGAACATAGGCTCAGTAGTTGTGGCGCACGGCCTTAGCTGCTCCGCGGCATGTGGGATCTTCCCGGACCAGGGTTCGAACCTGTGTCCCCTGCATTGGCAGGCGGATTCTTAACCACTACGCCACCAGGGAAGCCTGCAAGCCTACTTCTTTTTCACATCTGTATAGTGTCCCACTGTATAAATGAAGGATAATTAATTAAACCAGTCCACTGTCGTGGGATGTATAAGCTAGTTGGAATCTTTTTTTTTTTTTTTTTAAGAGCAGAACCTGGCTCACATACTTCTAGTCATACAACTTTAGTCAAGTTACTTAACCTCTTTGAACTTGAGTTCCGTCATTTGTAAAGCAGGAATTTAAAAAGTCCCTCCTTCACACCTCACAGGGTCATTGGAAGAATTAAATGATATCAGTATGTAAAGCAAATAGCACAGAGTCTTCACTGGGCAGTGCTTGGTCGTGTGTGTTGTCTTCCTTTTCACTGTAATGAGCCCCCAGAGCCTGTCCCTGCCCTGGGGAAGTGCTTTCCTATTTCCAGCCCCACACACTGGTATCTGGCTTCACCTCCTGGCTCAGCAACAGGAGGTTCAACTGGAAGAAATGACTCCAGCATGCTGTCCAAGGGAGCCTAGACTGCAGAGAAAAGTCAGGCCTGAGGCCTGGCACATCCTAGGGATGTTACCGCAGAGCAAACATGAGTTTGCTGGCTGGGTGGATCCCAGTCAACAGGGAGATAAACGGATTAAAGACAAACTGGTCAGGACTCCCTGCCATGGAAACAGGAAGAAGGCGGGCTGCTGCTTCTGTTTGGGGTTGGTTTATCACCTATCTATCTATCATCTATCTATCTATCTATCTAATAAATAAAACAGCTTTAATGACATATTCATATGCCATGCAATTCACCCATTTGAGGTGTACAACTCAGTGGTTTTTACTATATTCAAGAATTGTGGGGAATTCCCTGGCGGTCCAGTGGTTAGGATTACGTGCTTTCACTGCTGAGGGCCTGGTTTCGATCCCTGGTCAGGGAACTAAGATCCTGCAAGCTTCGAAGCATGGCCAAAAAAAAAAAAAAAAATTGTGCAACCATTGTAACAATGTCATCATCCAAAAAAGAAACACCGTGCCCACCAGAAGTCACTCTCCCCTTCCCATCCCCACCCCTCCAGTCCCAGGCAACTGCTAATGTACTTCCTGTCTCTATGAATTTGTCTATTCTGAAAACGTTCATATAAATAGAATCCTATAATATGCAGTTTCAAGATGTTTTCAAGGTTCATCCATATTGTAGCATGAATCACTGCTTTATTGCCAAATAATATTCCTTTCTATGCATGTACTGCATTTTGTTTATCCGTTCATCAGTTGATGGGCTTTGGGGCTGTTTCTGCTTTTTGGCTATCATGAATAATGCTGCTATGAATACTCATGTACAAGTTTTTGTGTGGACGTATGTTTTCCTTTCTCTTGGGTATATATCTAGAAGTGGAATTGCTGGTTCATATGGTAACTCTACGTTTAGCTTTTGGAGGAATTCCAAACTATTTTCCAAAGTGGCTGCACCATTTTACTTTCCCTCCAATAGTATATGAGTGCTCCAATTTCTCCACGTCCTCACCAACACTTGTTATTATCTGTTTTTTCTATTATAGCCCTCCTGGTGAGTATGAAATAGTATCTCATTGTAGTTTTGATTTGCATTTCCTTGACGAATAATAATGTTGAGCAGCTTTTCATGAGCTTATTAGCCATTTGTATATCTTATTAGCCATTTGTATATCTTTTTTGGAGAAATGTCTATTCAGAGCCTTTATCCACTTTTTTGTTGTTGTTGTTGTTGTTGTTGTTGTACGCGGGCCTCTCACTGTTGTGGCCTCTCCTGTTGTGGAGCACAGGCTCCGGACGCGCAGGCTCAGTGGCCATGGCTCACGGGCCCAGCCGCTCCGTGGCATGTGGGATCTTCCCGGACCGGGGCACGAACCCGTGTCCCCTGCATCGGCAGGCGGACTCTCAACCACTGCGCCAGCAGGGAAGCCCTATCCACTTTTAATTGGGTATTTTTTTTTTATTGTAGATTGTAAGAGTTAATTACATATTCTAGTGGGGGTGGTCTTATTTTAATCTTTTTGAAATTACTGTTTTCTCAGTCATATGCATACTTACTAGAGCAGTAACATGTTTGAATAAAGAATACAAATAGATGGGTTTATCAGGATGTTAAAGTGTTTGCAACCTGGTGCAACATTATGGGAGCCCTAGAGACCCCTGGAATCCAGGAGATCCAAATAGCGACTTTAAAAGAATCTGTTCAATCTCAGTAAAGATATTTCCTTTGTGTGTTTCTGTGCCTTCCTTGAATGGAAGGAAACAGAACTGTTCTACTACCTCAAGTCCACATCCCCAAGGGGAAATGACTCTGCAGGCAACAGCAGAATAGAGGCTATGGGACATTCCACCGTGCAACGGACATCACGATCTAGAAAAGCTTTCATTATTTCAGGTCTTCTCATTTCATTTCAATAAACGTTTAATGAGGATTTCTTATATGTCACAAATAGAGATACGAAGATGAATAAGTCATAGAGAGAGAAATGGACACAAACAAAAGATTTTTCAATACTGAGTGAACAGACATTGTCCAAAGCATGCTGGGAGTGTGGAGGAAGGGGCAATTCCCTTCGTCAAGAAGGGGTACTGGTGAGAAGGGAGATTGGGAATTATGGTAGCTTCACGGAGGAGATGATGTTCAAGCTGGTCTTGAAGAGTGAGTATGAGCTTGTCAGGTGAACAAGGAGAGTTAATAGCATGTGCAAGATCATAGAGGCATAGCAGAGCATGGTGAACTCCTCCTGTGCCTTTATAATGAATGGCTTTTGGATGAATCCATGAATTCCTATAGGGGAGTTTGATTCCAGCCCATCTTTAGGTTCAGAGTGGACGTGTTGAACAGAAGGATAAGGCTAGGGAAGAGAGTTCACCCCAGTGCAGGATGGGGCTGTCTGAGAGTTCAGCCTGATTCCTTAGTTTTTAAGGTCCAAGCTGGGTTGGATCCAGCCCATACACAAACTCTCAGATGGAGTATCATTCTCTCTCCTGTGAAAAAGTCAGGGAGGGGTGCCTCTAACCTCAGAGAGGGGTGGCTATGGCACCATAAAGGCGATTGGTGAGTGGGGAAGGGAGGGGACTCAGAAGACACACTGTGTTTGTTCTACACCTCTGTTTGTCCTTATATCTAACCTAGTGTCTACAGACTTATAATGAGTAACTAAATCAATGACGTCAAAGCTGGACTCTTGGTGTAAAACAGGTACTTTTCTTCAGTCTTAAGTGCCAAAACACATTCCATTGCCCCTGAACCCTTGTCCTCAGGAAGCTGGTAGGAGGCCAATCACAGTTTTCCAAGAAGCTCCAGGTGAGCTGCCAGCTGGCTGTGAATTTAGTCCCTGCTGCCCTTGTCTGGATTTGACCTGCTGCCCTAGGTGTGTGCTGCAGTGTGAGAGCCTGGTGTGTCGGTCAGGAAGCTTCCTGATGTAAGTCACTGAAAGCTCAACTCAAAATTGCTTCAACAATAATGAAAAGTATATTCACAGAACAAGAATTCTGGAAGTCGGGTGGCTTCAGAGTTGGTGAACTTACCAGTCAAGTTGGGTCATCAAGGACTTAAGTTCTTGCCATTTCATCTTCAGTGTACTGGCCTGTCCCCTTCAATATCATAGGTCAGCTCCCCTCATGGTCCTAAGATGGCTGCTGCAGCTCTGTGCTTCACACTGCAGATATCAATGCCTAGCATTAGAAAACGTCTAATTCTCGCCATTCACCTCCCTTTAGGAGCAAAGTCCTCTTTTTTAGGACTTTCCCAAAAGTCCCCAGCAGACTTTCTCTCACATCTTAATGCCTATAATGACTTCACATACCCTTGCCTATCAATGACAGGCAAAGGGAGCAGACAACTGTGATTTGCTTAGAGTCTGACCAATCAGGATTCAGCCCCTGGGGCTTGAGAGGAGGCCAACCTCCCTTGAAGCTACCACCACCTTATTTATACCCAATTAAAGCTGAGGTCTGTTGGGTAAGCAATTAACAATGCTTGCCACACACAGGTCTCTGGTGGGCATTGCACATGCTTTATAGGTTTTTCGAGGAGGACAAACTCTTCCATTGGAGATTTTATCTGCATAAAGTAAATCTATTTTACTTCTACAAGCTCTGTTTTGTTCATTTTCAACAGCCCTTGCTCGTTACTCAGACTTCTAAGTGCGCCAGTTTGAACGTCCCAGCTCTGATAATGTCAATATCAGGTGTTTTTACAAGTCTGATTCTGCATTTGTGTCCTGTAGGCTACCATTTGTGATGCCTTGTTTCCTTATGTGTTTATTGATTTTTCTCAATTTTCTTCTAATTTATCTAGAGAAATTCTTTGAGCCCAAACCTAAAAGTGGATTTTTTCAGAAAGAATCTGTGCTTGTTTCTGTCGGGCACTGGAGAACACTGTCTGCCAAAGACCCCTGTACATCCTCAGTTTGGGGTTTTAAAGTTCAGGCTGCATCCCTGGGTGAGAACCAGCTTGGGTTTCAGATTTCTTGGGGGTGGGCTTAGGGAAGGAGTTCCCCACTGTCCTCAGTGCCAAGATTTAAGACAGGCTATTTTCCTTGTAGACTGCTGGGAGCAGGGTGGCATCTTTAATTCATCTTTACCATGAGGGTGTGCACATTTGGAACCCCGTATTTGTGAGGGGCTCTGTTACTAAAATCCTCACATTCTGCAGGCCCCAGAGCCTCGCTAGGTCATGAAGTCAGTCAAGTTCACCAGATCTGGCAAAGCCCTCAGGGTCAAAGCTGCCTTCATTGCTCTTCTCTGCTCCTAGCCTGAGGATTTCTAGCTTTCTGGACACTTTCAGATACCTTCCAGATGATACTGTTGCTATTTCATTGTGGTAACTGACTGCTCAGTGGGAGAGTCAGTAGCTGGCTAGTCTGCCATGTTACCAGACACACAAGCTATTTTTCTAATTCTAAATTCATATTCATCGGTTAACAAAAACTGTGAAAGAAAGATTTAAGGTGAAGGAGCCCTTTGGAAAACTCAATTTTCTCTTTTTAAAAATGTGTATTTTTAACAGGCAATTGGTCCACATAGTACAACACTCAAAAGGTCCCATAGGACATTTAGTCTATTTGGACATTAAAGTTTCCTTCCCACCATCCCCTTCCCCAGCAGCCCCTCATTTCCCTCATCTTCCAGAGACAGTCTATACACATATAGAAATTACACATATACTTCCCCTACTCCATCCCCTTTGTTTTAAAGAACGCAAATGATGGCAGGTTATTTTCCACCGAACAATATATCTTGGAAATTGTTCCCAACTACTACATAAAGAGCTTTTTCATCCTATTCTGTTACATGGATAGTATAACCTACTTAAGCAGTCCTCTATTTTTAGACATTTAGGTTGTTCCCAGGCTTCTAAACAGTATGACAATGAATAACCTGCGGCATATATCATTTTATGCTTCATGAATATATCTGTAGGATAAATTCATGAAGGGGAATTGCTGAGTCAAAGGGCAGGTGCATTGGTAATTTTGATAGAGATTACCATATCACTCTCTATAATGGTTGTAACAATTTGTACTTAATTCCAACATCAACATATAACGTGTGCTATTGATCTTTGTCAAGCTGATAGGTTAAATACAGTATCTAATAAACAAGAAACAAGCTTCTTGGCATCCTAGAGAAGTAACTAGTAGGCAGAAGGCCTGAGAAAATACTGTGACCCCTGCTGACCCAGAAAACAACTCCATCAAATCAACTCCTGGGATTTCCAAATAGACAATAGACTGGATTAAAAATTGGAAGTATTGGGGACTTCCCTGGCAGTCCAGTGGTCAAGACTCCGCGCTTCCACCGCAGCGGGTGCACGTACAACCCCTGGTCAGGGGAACTAAGATCCTGCATGCCTCACAACGCAGCACGTCCAAAAAATGAAAGAAAGAAAAGGAAGTAGCAAAGAATTTTGGCAAAGAATTCTCTCCGACTTAGTCAAATAGAAGATTAAAAAAAAAAATTCTAGTCTTCCTTCCTAAAACAAGTTCTAAGAAAAACCCCTAAACATCCAAAGTCAACTAAGTACAGAAAGTTTAAGGCAAAGGAATTTCCCTGTGTCCCGCCAGGAAGAGGAATGTTTATAATCTCTGCACTGGCTATCATATTTACCCAAAGAATTAGCTTCCTTTGTTTTAATTTCTATTAGGTGGGAGAGCATAAGGGATTTTCTAGACCACGGCTATCCCAGCAGAATTTTCTGTGATGATGGAAATGTTTCATACCTAAGCCATCGATATGGAAGCCACTAGCCATGTCTGACTATTGAGTCCTTGAGATGTGGCTGGTGTGACTGAGGCATTGAATTTTTAATTTTATTAAATTTTACTTAATTTAAATGTAAATAGCCATGTGTGGTTAGCGGCTACCATCTTGGACTACACAGTTCTGGGGAGACAAGTTTAGAGTTTTCTTTTGCTAAGAGAGATGCCCATTTCTTACTGGGTCAGGATGCTCCAGATTGCAACATCGGGACATAAATGGGGTTGTCTTCTAAACTTTACTCCAGATTTCTCTTCTCTGCTCAGGGCCTACTTTCCCCTCAACTTGTTGAACTTCTAGCCCTTCTCCTCAGACTCTCCCCACATCGTGCCCCTTCTGATCTGCTCCAACCCCTCCCAATTCAGGTTCATTTTCTTATCTCTCCATCTTCTTGTTCACCAGTCATCTTGGCTATGCCTAGAAGGCTTCCTCTTCAGAGCCAGACATGCTCTGCGAGATATGTTCTTGAACAGAGACATTTCACTCCCTGTGAGGAATTATGTATTCAGCGCGTAAGGGAAGATTCCGCTCTCCTCAGCACACTACACTTCACCTCACTCAACAGCGTGGTTTTCCTCATGAGTGCTATGTTCCCTTCCCTTTACCATACAAGAGGTTTTCATGGTTCCCATGTTGGGCTTTTTCTACCTTTTGAGCTTTGAAAATTGAGAGATTTATCTAAATGTCCTATAAGACCCTGAAATGAGTAAAGTGATTCTCTTGGGATCCCATCACTCTCTCCCCCCACCTCCCCACCTCTCCCAGATGCAGCTTTGAGGCTCCTCTTAATTTGAAAGCCTCTTTGATTCTCAGCCTAAGGGTAGAAGGAAGGGCTCCAGGGCTATAAGCTGATGGGCAGAGATTTTGATTCTAGGTTTTTGATGATGCACCTCTGCCAGCTTTCTCTGATGGGTGTGTGACAAGCCCCAGGCCCCAGGTAGAATCTAGCCTATTGCTGTGGCCACCAACTCAGGAAGGCACTCCCTCCACCTTCTTTATGAGGTAGTCACTTGTAACCTTGGGCCTCACACACAACTGTTTTTTTAAAGGTAAAAGAGATTGCAAGTGGAGTGATGACTTAGGGCCAATTTTTACCTTTCATTTTCTGTTCCTTCTAATTAGGAGAGTCAGTGGGATCCAGGATCTCCAATTAGTGCAGGACTCTGCTTCCTGAAGGGAAAAAGAGTCAAGGTCAAGGTGTTTTTCCTTCAGTGCAGACTACCTGCTGTAATCCAGTAGAAATTCTTCAATGATATCCTTTTCTAGCTCTGGTACTGATGCTCTCTTACTCGTGTTTTATTCCTTTCTTTCAGGAACTGGGGTTGCAAGGTGGTATGGAATTAGATGTTAGCCTTCAAAGTCACCATCTTATCCAAAAGTACTAATAATTTCTTTCTTTCTTTCTCTAATTCATAGAAAAGCTCTTTAAGTTTAAATCAGATATTCATAACATTTTGAGTTTTGACCATGTCTGGAGAAAGGGCCTACTCAAATAAATATACTATCAAAACCTAACTGCTATAGCACACAGGGAGACAGGGTAGCATTGCCTCTATTTTCAAGATAATCTTTGGATTTCTTTACTCCTGTTCTGTTAGGGGGAAAAAAATGGGTTTAGAGAAATCTGAACAGTTCCCAAAAATAATAACCAGTTGAAAATTCCTTTTGCTACAGTTTTCTCAGGAAGCCGAGCAAGCCTTTCCATTTCCTAGCAGGTCCCTCGAAGGTCAAAGGAACAGGGAACGTTTGCAAAGGCATCTTGTTTGCTTTTGTTCCCACCAGCACTTATATCCCCTGGGAACACCAGACTCTAATAAGCAAAATAATCTAAGGAGAGGAAGAAGTAGCAGGCACCTTTTAGATGGGATGCACTGCAGCCAGAACATCGACCTGGAGATGGCTTTGCACCATATTGGTATTTTGAACTTGGAAAAGTTCCATCTGTTTGGTAAATGCATAGATTATTTTTCATTTTACCTATTGACCCCCTTCATTTAAAAAATAAAAATAGTTAACAAGATTTAACTAAATTTTCAAAACCCAATACACATTTTAGCTTGATGTAAGTAATTTCCATTTAAAATTTTGATATTTATTAAATATAATTGTATTGCCTTTTAATTCTAATAGCTAACATTAAGTATTTTAGAAGTAAAATAAGGGACTTCCCTGGTGGCGCAGTGGTTAAGAATCCACCTGCCAGTGCCCGGGACATGGGTTCGAGCCCTGGTCCAGGAAGATTCCCACATGCCGTGGAGCAACTGAGCCCGCATGCCATGACTACTGAGCCCACGTGCCACAACGACTGAAGCCCATGTGCCTAGAGCCCACACTCTGCAACAAGAGAAGCCACGGCAATGAGAAGCCCACACACCGCAACGAAGACCCAACGCAGCCAAAAGTAAATAAATAAATAAGAACTTTGAAAGTTTATGAAAAGTAATTATTTTGATTTTATACTTCATCTATTTATTTTATTTTTATTTTTTATTTTTGGCCACGCCACACAGCATGTGAGATCTTAATTCCCTGACCAGGGATCGAACCAGTGCCCCCTGCAATGGAAGCACACAGAGCCCTAACCATTGGACTGCCAGGGAATTCCCCTTAATTTATATTTTGATAAACTATATTCAAATTTTTTACACTTTGGATACAATAAGAACATATTTTTTTAATCCTTTAGGTCATTACTGTCAACAGAACACAACTATGTGAAAAATGTTGATTATCACAATTTTGTTATAACTTTGCTGAAATGAAGGTACAAAGTACAAAAAATAAACTTCATGAAATAAATATAGAATAACTTACAAAGTATGCTTGCTTTATTTCATTACTCTCCCAAACATCCCTGACCCATCAACTGAACAGCAAGACAAGAGTTCCAACAGTTATTCTTGGTAACCTTTGATAATTTACTGATTTGGGCATATAAAACTATAGCTTTACATGTATTTTTAAATATTGTCATTTCAAAGATACAGTTGTCAAGACTGGAGAGTGGAACACATTTTATTTAGCAGTATGTTCACCTGATCTATGATTTTTAACATTTAGGCATAGGGTGTGTGGGCCTCTGTGAGTGCATTAGTCCCAGGGCCTGCAAATGTCAGGGGTGACTCTAATCAGCGCTTCCCCAGGGATCGTGGTGCGATCTTCTGCACTCAGCTTATCTCTTGAGGAGGAGTTCTTCTAGAATTCTAAGAAATATCATTTCTTCTACCACCTTACACCTAAAAGATGATTTATTTCAAGTCTCTTGACCATCAGGTTCTAGCTGTCACATAATTTGCCTTTTCAGTGTGATGCTCTCCTACTGAACCAAGGCTGGGGCCTTCCAAACAACAAATTAAGAAAAAAACCCAGTAAGAACTAAAGAGCTGGAAACAGGCTGAGTTCTATGACACCTTGCTATTTCAAGTGAGGTCCTGGGAGCAGAAGCATTGGTGCTCCCTGGAAGCTTGTTCGAAATGCAAAATCTCAGGTCCCACCCCAGGCTGACTGAATAAGAGTATGCATTTTAATCCCCAGTTCATGGGTATGCCCATTAGGGTGTGAGAAGAACTTCTCTAACTCTGGACTGAGACAATTAGAGCAAAGGTGAGGGAGAGGGGGAGGATGGTGACACCGGATCAGCTAGATGCTTGGGGAGGGACACCCATGGGAGTACTTTGTCCTGGGTTTCACTGACAGCAAGGGCACTCGGGTAGCAGCATAGGAACCCAATGTGATGACTGGGCCACTGGGCCCCAGAGTGGGGGGGATGTACCAAAAGACATTTTAGGATGTCTGCCCACGCACCCTCTCTTCTGGGGGACTGCTGTCCCTAGATCCAGTTGCACTGGAGTGATCATGTCATAAACCGTGTGATCCTGATCCCCCTGGTTATAACCCATATAATCAGAGATACATCTCAGGTCCAAAGGCAGCTAATTCATGGTCTGGTCAGTGACGTGACTTGTGGCCTAGCTGGAATATATAAGCTAGGCCATCAGATTCCTCCCTGGAGGGTTTAGGTTGGTTAAGGGTGGGGAGGTAGGCGTTCTGGCAAGTTATAAAGAATTAAGGTTGGGTGGCCCTAACAGGCGATGTGCAGGCCTAAAGTATGAGGCAATGGAGACACTGACTAAGCAGAGGAAGTTGGCCAGAATAGAAAGTGGGAGAGGAATGGAGGAGATATGCACTCATGCAAGGGGGCGGGGGGCAGCTGAGAAAGAGAAGGAGGTGAGAGAGCAGCCTCAGTTGCTGCCCTTCCTCTAACCCATGTTTAGTTTTTCCAGGTATAAGTCTCTGATTCTAGCAACCAACAGACCCTTGACTAGAAGAGTAGGTGAATTAATTCCTAATAGTCTAAACCTGAGTAAGCTGAGGCTATTGAACTATAATCCATCTATTAGAGTTGGCTCAGAAATTGGAAAGAGTGAAAAGAGTGAACCTTGGTGGGAAGAGATTGACCTCTGAGGACTGACATCTGGGTGTCTGGGCACTCAGTTTAGTACTCACATGTAGCCTAGAGATTACAACAGCGTGTCTTATTTGCCGTTACTTGGTTTGTCTTTCTGTTTTTCAAAATTGGAGGAGAATGTTCAAAAGTCCAACAGAAAGCTCAGATTAGGGATATTGCTGGTTAAGTACTTATTTTGAGCTTGGATTATCCATATCATTTTTGTTAATAAGGTCTTAATATTTGAACATGTTAGAGGAGATTCATTAGGGAGAATTAAAATAATACTTCTGTAGCAGTCTTGGCTTGAACCTAACTGTATCCACCACTGGGTTATTTAGACATATGTGGCCATGGGGGTGGGATAGTGCAAGTAGGGGCTCCGAAGGAGTCTGTTCTTGGGGCTCCATTTGTACAGAGTTGTTGAAGAAGGAGCATGACCTTTGCCCATGCCAGCAGAGGGGGTCTTGGGAGGGGAGTCAACACTGCCCTCTGAGCGCTAGGGAGAGCGGGGCTTCCAAAGATGCTGAAAGAGCTGTTGTCCCTAAGAAATCTGAAACATCAGGGCACAAACCTCATTGTTTTGATGTCTGGGTGACATTGAAATGTGACAAAAAATGGTGGAGGGGTTCCCCCACTTCAGCAGCAGAGCCTCACGTGGGCCTCTGGGCACTGAGGGCAGCAGTATGACTCAGACACCCCAAGCCTGCTGGGCGAGCTACATTCTGTTTTAAGTTGGATCTTACATGTCACATGACCTTGCTTTGTTCATAGTCTACACCAGGGGTCCCAAGCCCCCAGGCCTCGGACCAGTACTGGTCCGTGGCCTGTTAGGAACTGGGTCGCACAGCGAGTGGTGAGCGGCAGGTAAGCAAGCGGAGCTTCCTCTGCCGCTCCCCATCACTCCCCATCGCTCGCATTACTGCCTGAACCATCCTCCCTCGCCCTCCGACCATAGAAAAATTGTCTTCCACGAAACTGCTCCCTGGTGCCAAAAAGGTTGGGGACCACTGGTCTACAACTTTAAACTCTTGCCCAACACCTGTTTTTTGTTGTTGCTGTTTTCAACTCCTGATGTCATGCATATCCCAAATCTTTACTTGTCTACTTGTGTCCAACAGGACTTACTATTGTGACCTCTTATCTGTTCTCCCCACTGCCATTTTTGCTCTCCTACATTCCATGTTCAGCAGAATAGCCAGCAGGAACTTTTACAAATGGAAACTTTCTCTTAATATTCCAAGGTCTTCCCGTCATCCTTAGCATAAACCAAACCCCTCACCCGTGTAGTCTGGCCCCTCCCCATCAGACATCACCTGCTTCTGCTCTCCTTGCTGGTTTCACGCCACCCCTGTGGACTTTCTCAAACACCTTTGAGCTCCTCAGAGCATTTGTGGAAACTGGTCCTGCTGCTTGGGGCTCCTTCTTCTGTCAACTCAAATGCTACCTCTATTGCTAAGCCTTTCTTGACCCCTCTGTCTAAGATGGTTAGCTCTCTGCTGAAGCCACTTTCTTTTTTTTTTTTGGTGGTACGCGGGCCTCTCACTGTTGTGGCCTCTCCTGTTGCGGAGCACAGGCTCCGGACGCGCAGGCTCAGTAGCCATGGCTCACGCGCCCAGCCGCTCCGCGGCATGTGGGATCTTCCCGGACCGGGGCACGAACCCTTGTCCCCTGCATCGGCAGGTGGACCCTCAACCACTGCGCCACCAGGGAAGCCCCT